GTTCTTGGCAGCTTCATATTCCAAAGCACGAGCAAGTGTTTGCGCAAGGTCTTTAGCGTGGTTTACACGTAGGTGCGTTGATATTTCCGAATCATGAATTCCATTAACAAATGCTTCGACCGCTAGCTCTTGAATGATCTCCTCAGGTAGTGATGGATATGCTAACCTGACTAGACGTAGAATGTCCGCTCAAAATTCTTGCATGGTTTCACTGTTCTTTTGTCGTCTGCCTCTAAGCTGGGTTTTGTAGACTTCTTTCAAATGTGTGTCACTATACCTCATTTGAAATATTTTGAGCATGGCCTGATAGTTCTTACGGTCATCTTGTGGTATTGATCGTAAAATTTCCGTTGCTTCGCCTCGTAGGGAAATAATAAGTGCTGTTGCCTTCTCCTGATCATTCCACCCGTTAATTACTGCAGCGGCTTCAAATTGGCATAAATATGTAGACCATGCGACTTTACCATCGAATGTTGGCGGCTTCAGTTTACTGCTGCTTGGAGATTGCGCCTCAAATTTTATTGTATCAGATCCTGCATTGTACCTGGTGACTTCTGATCTAATTTTGATTATTTCTTCTTCCACATGTGCGTGAAGTCGGCAGATATTTTCATCAACTTTGTCTTGAAACTTGATGTTTTCATCTCTAACATTGTTCTGAAACTTCGTATTGTCTTCTTTCAGAATCTTCTGGAACTTAACACTGTCTTCCTCAATGTTCTTTAGTTTGTCTTCAACGGTTGTCTTCAGGTCTTCAAATTTCTTAGCGTTGTCGTCTATTTCATCTCTCATTTCGTTCATAACTTTGTTGTTGTCTTCCATTTTGTCATTCATTCTGTTAATTTTTTCGTCCATTTTCCTACTGTTGTCTTCCATTTTGTCATTCATCTGCATGAGCAGTGCAATCAAACGGGGGTTCTCCATTGCAGGGTCTTCCTTTTTTTTATTTACTTCTTGTTTCCATCAAAATTCAACTTGGATTCTGATAAATCCCACTTCTGACGTCAAATGTACTGCGGATGGCCGGGTATTAAACTCTTTCTTCAGCTTCCAACTTTTATTCAACTCGGTATAACTGTAAATACGGAACAGGAACAAACTAACTTTAAAATTACCGTCAACTTCACAAACAATAACAATAACAGGAGGAAAACTGGCTCTTTCGACTCGCGGGGTTAAATCTCTTCTGCACCCGGTCGTTGCTGTCACTTCACTTTTTCCGTCTGGTTCTCGTCGTCGCTTATATAGTTTTCTCCAGGTTACCCAGATAGTTCTCGAAATCTCCAGAACAGGTGCGAAACTTCCCGCTTGTCAGTGTCATATTTGACAGTAAATGGGGCCCAAATGGGGCTCCCATTTACTGAA